TTTTTCTCCCTGCTTATATACTTGCGCATCTTATTTTCCTTTCTTAAACTCTTCCTCTTTTCAATGGAAGTCAAAATTAAATTTATTTTAAAAGAAAAGAATGGTTGGATCTCAATCAGATATGACGACGCCACCCTGGAGATCTGTGCAGGTTTAAATGGGATGGGACTCCATGTTCCTTGTGCTGGACATTTTACATGAGAAAAAAATGAATAGATGCACAGATGTGACTCAGAGGTTTCCTGCCTTTTTAGGAGCAGGATAAGAGAAAGCCCAAGTGGAGTGGGAAGGGGTTGCCTTCCAGTAGGATATAAATTGCCAATGAATCAGCAGTGTATTGGGGTCTAAAAAAGCAAGCAGAATTCTGGGATGAGCATACAAGGGCCTGCAAGCAAAGGCCTTCTTTCAAGGCCTGACTTAGCTGCTTCTTTCCTGGTACCAACATTTCTCCCCTTTTTCCCTCCCACAGGTGCAACTAAAAGAGCTCTCACTCACCTTCCTCAAGTTTTTCATGGCACAGTACCCCAGCTTCTCTTCTGTACTGATCCTATTCTGCCTGGAATAAGAGTTTTGCAGTTTTTTTCTTATTCCCTTTCCAGTTTTAAGTTCTTTAAATGAAATCTCTATGTCTTATTTACCTTTGTAAACCCAGAAACCCACAGTGCCCTGTCCATGGCAAGCACTTAGTAAGTATCCTTTGAATAGAATGGTGAAGTTGTCATTCCCCTACACCCAGTGCGGCTGAGACCTTGAGTAGAGAATAATACGATGAAGACTTAGAAAATAATCATAGAATTTTGGGGATTATAAGGAATCTCTACTGCGGCATAGCTGACAAGTGGTCATCCATAAACCCTGTTATGAAAGGGTCAGTAGACTGAGTTTATTTAGCCTGGAAAAGAGAAATCTTTGAGGATGGGGAGGTGGGAATGTGTGTGATATGTGTAAGATTCCTGGGATTACAGATCATAGTAATGATACTAATAATTAGTAATAGTTCAGTTTAATAACACTCTAAGGTTTGCAAGATGCTTTACATACATTATTTCATATAATGTTAGAGCTCGAAGAGACAATAAAAGCTATTTAATCCAACCCTCTCATTTTACAGATGGGGAAATGGCCCTGGATTAACTAAGTCATTTTTATTTTCTTATACTTTCAGTATATACAATAGACCAAAGAACAACATCTGTTTCAAAGTGAGCACATCCTTATTGTTAAAGCAAAGGATTAGAAAGGGGAAATAGATTGCAAGCTCCTTGAGGGCAGAGAAGTCTTTTGCCTCTTTTTGCATCTCCATCAAGTAGTACAGTGCCTGGCACAGAGTAGATGCTGAATATATGTTTACTGAATTGAATTGGAAATGACTGATCCAAGACCATAAAGCTAGTTAGTGGCAGCTTGAACCCTGTTCTCCCAATCCCAGCTGGATATTCTTTCTGTTATATGATAGTGACAAAGAGGGAGAGATGTTCAAAGAGCAGAGACTTCAATCACATTAAAAGTAATTTGTAGGGAGGATGGTACATAAGTAATTTGATTCTGCTGAGAACACAGGAAGCAGGGATGGGCTTAAATGTTGGGATTTAGGTTGGACTTTAAAGGAAGACATCAACAACTCCTTGACTGTCAGAGACATGTCACCAGTGGAGTTCATGGAAGAAATACACAGATGCCATTCAAGGACTTTCCCCATCTCCTTTGCCACAACTGGATGGAGAATGTCTATTGATTGGTCTATGCTATATAGTTGGAGGGGCAGCCCACTGAGTTGGTCCATCAGTAAATCTATCTTTGAATAGATAGGACAGATAGACAGTGAACCAGGTCCAATATTCAATAGGAAGAAGAGAGCAGATTGATTGCATCTGAGAAAGTAGGAAGAGTTTTCAAATATTCTCAACTGCTCCCTGACACAAAAAACTCCATCTTTTATATCAATATTCTCCCAGTGAAGCATGAAACACCACAGTTTCTAAAGAGCCAAAATTACAGGTGATCTGAAGTCCAATGGAACAATATATGGGTGGCCAAAAGTAGGCCTTAGCGTGTTAGTGACAACAACTGGTTTATAAGAAGTGAGATATAAGGTATCTTACAGGAAACATACCACCGCCATGACGTCAGAGGCATCCTTCACTTTCTACTTTCTCTTATCTCCCATACCACATTATTTAGTCTTGTTGATTCCACCTCTACAAAATCTCTTGCATGTTTCCTTTTCTCTCTACTCAGTCACAACCCCAGCTAAGGCCACTATTGCTTCTTACCTGGTCTATGGCAACAAAAGCTGGTATTTATATAGTTAGCATTTAAGGTTTGCAAAGCTGTTTATAAATATAATCTCATTTTATCCTCCAAATAATCCTAGAAGGTAGATGTTATTATTATCCCTATTTCACAGATGAGGAAACTGAGGCAGACAGATTAAGTGACCTGGCCAGGGTCACACAGCTAGTAAGTGAGGCTGGATTTGAACTCGTCTTCCTGACTCCAAGCCTGGCGCTCTATCTACTGAACCACCTAGCTGCAGATTCCATGTAATATGAAGAAGGAGAGATGACTGACAACTGGGGCAGGCTTGGGCAGGGATCGGGGAAGGCTCCATGAAGGAGCTCGAGGATCAAAAGTGAGTCTTTTTATTTTATTTTTTTATTTTTTTATTTTTTATTTTTTTTTAGGCAATTGGGGTTAAGTGACCTGCCCAGGGTCACACAGCTAGTAAGTGTCAAGTGTTTGGTCTGAGGCCGGATCTGAACTCAGGTCCTCCTGACTTCAGGGCTGGTGCTCTATCCACTGCGCCACCTAGCTGCCCCCTCCCTTTTTTTTTAGGCAATTGGGGTTAAGTGACTTGCCCAGGGTCACACAGCTAGTAAGTAAAAGTGAGTCTTAAAGGATGATAAAGATTCTGCTGAATTGGAGGAGGGGACAGTGCATTTCTGGCATGAAGGACAGTTGGTATGACTGCACCGAGATGGCTGGTGTCATATCAAATTTGGGAAACAGATGGCAATTCAGTTGGGCTGGAGCAGAGTGTATGAAGAGAGTGATATGAAGTAAATTTAGAAAGGAGGTTGGAAAACAGATTGTACAAGTCTTTTGGTGTCAGGTTAGGGACTTTACATTTTATCCCACTGGCAATAGGGAGCCCCTGAATGTTTTTGAGTGGAGGAGTGATATCTGCCTTAGTAAGATACTCTGGCAGGGGTGAGTAGGACAGAGGGGAAGGGTGGAAGGACAGTCGGAAAGTAGGAGGCCTGTGAAGAGGTTATTTTATGAATTTTGGATAAGAGGTGACCAGGGCCTGGCCACTGGCTTGAAGATGGGGAGAAGGACCCATGCCGTCATGAACGGAGGAGGGAAGGGGACCTGACAGAAGCCCGGAATGTTTGTGAGAGATTTTGTGGAAGCAGAATCAACAGAACAATTTATTCTTTTCCTCTGCTGTTTTTCCCAGCAGACATCAAAACACTTCAAAGTCAAAATCGCATGAAAGCTCTCTTCTAACCTTTTTTTTAAATACAATTTGATTTATTCAGTCTCCTAAAGACATTTGAAATTCCATCTGCTTTCTTCTGGGGTTCCCTCTTCTCCTGCAGGCCCAAATCAACGTCTTAGTTTTTGTCAGATATTCAAGGATGCTCTGTCCCTTTAAGCCAGCAACTGCCATAATAGGATTCTAGACTAGAATAGGACACAGAGCTCCATGGACCGCCACAGCCCTCAACTGTAAAGCACTCACTATGCACTAGGCATCGCTCTAAGCACTTCACGGTTATTGGCTCATTAGATCCTCTCGATAACCCTGTGATGTAGGTGCTGTTATTATCATCCCCATTTTGTGGTGGTTGTTGTCCAGTTGTTTCAGTCGCATCCGGCTCTTCATGACCCCATACGGGCTTTTCTTGGCAGAGATACTGGAGTGGTTTTGCCATTTACTTCTCCAGCTCATTTTACAGATGAGGAAACTGAGGCAAGTAGGGCAAAGTGACTTGCCCAGGGTCACATAGCTAAGAATTATCTGAGGTAGGATTTGAACTCGGGTCTTCCTGACTCCAGACCTGGTGCTCTATCCATTGTACCATCTAGCGGCCTTTCTCCCCATTGTACAGATGAGGAAACTGAGGCAAACAGAGGTTAAGTGGCTTGCCCAAGGTCACATAACCAGGAAGTATCCGAGGCTGATTTGAACTCATCTTCCTGACTGTAGGCCCAGTGCTCTATCTATTGTGCCTGCTATCTAGTCCAACCTCCTCATTTTACAGATGAGGAAGCTGAGGCTATGAGGGGGAAAGTGACTTGCCTAAGGTCATACGAGTAGTAAGCACCAGAAATGGGCTTTAAAACCATATTCTTCAGAGTCAGGGCATCATCTCCTGCACCTCAGCTTCCAATACTATAGTCTCAAACTTGAACTGTATGTTTGCTTTAAGCACAGTGTTCATCCATTTCATTGCTACTGTCAATCAATCAATAAGCATTTATTAGGCACCTGCTAGGTGCCCAGGCACTCTGTTAAGTGCTGGGACAAGAAACACAAAGAATGACACCTTCCCTACTCCCCTAGAGTCTCCTTTTTCACCAGACTGCATATTCATCCCAACAAAAGGACAGAATACCCCATAATTGTTCCCAGGGGAGGTCTGAAAGAGCCTTAGATGCCCAGTGAAGGGCTAGGGAACCGTGCATAGTCATGGAATGAGTATTCACCTGGTTTACCAAGCTGGCCATCCTCTGTGGCCACCACCACCACTCACCTGCTCTCACAACCTCAGCAGCGTGTCGGCTGGAGCTATGAGAGATTTCATCTCCGTGGGTCTTGACCCTGACTTCCATGGGGTCTTCTATAGATAGGTTGTGCGCTTCCTAGAAAACACCTATCACTCCCTAAAATCATGGAAGTTTTTTTCCCCCTCCCCAGCACAGATGAAATTTGCCACAACAGATGACATCAGCTTCTCCATACATGACCCAGAAAGCAGCTGTGGTTTCTTCTGTCAGAAGCAAACTACTCTTCCTACCCAGGGCTAAGGAGAAGATACAGGGCAGATGCCAGGGATGGGTGGTATATGCAAGCAGGTAGCACTTTCATTTGAAAATTAAGAGAGAAAGGAGGGAAAGGTACAATTTTAGAGAAAGGGATTTTTTTTCCTGACACAGATCTCTGACCTTCAGTCGACGGTCCTGGTCTCCACTGCACAGAGAATTTACAGAGACTTTGAACGATTTCCAAGCTGGGCTTAAGTTATTCATCACAACCTGAGAACAGAAAGAGAGGGGTGGGGTGGAAAGAAAATTCTTGACATTTGCATATTTCAAAATAAAAACCAATTGAAGCATCATTCTGACTCACGAAAAGGACATTAATCAGGGACAGGTCCCTTAATGAAGAGCTGAAGTGGTAAATCTTTTATACTGTCCATTGAATGGATCATTAGGGGCAGAATTCCCTGGAAATGGGCCAGGCTAGAAAGCACTGCCTGTATTGTTTAATGACTACCACTCCTAATATCAACCACCTGGTGGTTTATATTATATTTATATAAGAGAATGGTGATATAGAAAATCGGGCTGGGGCTCCAGAGGTGTGGCTGGTATCTGGCCAGTTTGGAGTCCTAGGTACTGTGATCTTGGGCAACTCAGCCTCACAGAGACTCAGTTTCTTTATCTGAGAAATGAGGAGGTTCCATTATATAATGTTTAAGGTCTTTTTTTTAGCTCTAAATCTATGATCCTATAACATCTAATTCTGTAGGACCATCAGTAATGAAATGAATTCTCCAAAATAGGTCAGCAAAAGCTTTGCCTCTTGGGGAGATAAGGTATCAACTCTGTGTAGAAGACTGGACCATTCCTTAGTACTTAATTCAGTAATGTTGACTTGGTGTATAATCCAATAATGATGATGATGATGATAATAATAATAATTAATCTTAAAAATTTGCTAAGTATGTCACCTGTATTAGCCCATTTGAACCTCATCATAACCTTGTCTGCTTAGTACAGTGGTTAGTGTTCCCTTTTGGCAGTGGAAGACATTAAAGGGCAGAGAAACCAAGGAATTTGCCTATTGTCACATAGCTAAGAAGAGTCAGAAGTAGGATTTGAACCCAAATCTTCCTAACTCGAAGGCCATCATACTATCTAAGTCAAAAAAATGTTTTAGGAAGTAGAACATTTGAGGGACTCCCTAGGCTTCCTCCTACAAGCAAAACCTTATCGGTCTACTTGGAATTTTAAACAATTAAGAAACAATTAAGATAATTCTGGGTGAGCAAATTTCTAGTTTTATGTACAAAGACTGTAGGATTATATATTTAGACTTGGAAGGTGCCTTGGTGATCATTTGACCAGTGAAGAAACTGAGTTCCAAAAAGGTTGGGTGCACAAAGATAATAAGTGACTGAGGCAGGATTTGAACCCCTGGCCCCAAATCCAGGGTCCTTGCCATTGGACCTAATCATTCTTGAGAATGAAGGTGAAAGTACAGTTTATTGAGATGTCAAAGCCAATTAGAAAGCAGCTCACAACCCCATGAATTCAGGCCCCCACATAGTGCTATCCCTTTAATGATTTAGAAAGACAAGGCCATGCCAATGCACAGATGGTGGACTGCTGGAAGCCTTATTCAGTTGAATTCATCCTAATTGAAGGAATATCCATTCATTGCTTTCTCTATGGCTCGGTGGAAATGATATCACATGGGAAGAGTTCTAGACTTGGAATCTTGGAAATCTGGGATGACATCCCACCCCGACACTAAGTGCTTAGGTGACCCTGGGCAAATCATTGCACCTTGAACTCCTTTTGGACTTAACTGCTAAGGCGTAGGTCTGCTCTCCCCCAGGGGAGGTGATTCTCATACCAGGAACATCGATTATGGCTGAACAGCCACAGAGTTGGAAGGGACTCTAGGGGTCATCTGGTCCAATTTCCTCTTTTTACAGATAAGGAAACTGAGGGCTAGAGAAGAGTAGTGACATGTCCAAGGTCATATGGGCAGTAGGTGGCAGATCTCACCTAGTACTGTGCTAAGGGTGGTGGGAAAAGAAATTCTAAAAAGAGATTGTTTTCACAGAGGAGGTATTTTTACTTAGTAGCTTTAAAAATATAAATGTATAAAATGTATAAAAAATATAAATATATAAAATGCATAAAAACAAATATTGTAAAATGTAAAATTAACAAATTCTCACTTTTATTGATTTATTGGTTATGTTTATTGTTATTATTGTGTTTGTCAATGTATTATTATTATTAATTGGATTCATAGGGCAGCTTTTACTTTGGTCAGATACATTGCCATAGGAAAATAACACCTTTGTGTGGCTTCACTCTGCTTCTTACTAAGGAGAGACAATCAAGGTGATGGCAGAAGAAGGTGCTAGCTAAGTAAGCCCTTTTTTGCCTTTATCCACTTTCTGTTTAGGTTAAATTTCTCAACCTTCCACCCCAAACTATAGAAATTCCTCTAGATTGGATGTAATCATAAATCACAGGATGATCCCAAAGTTGGAAGGCATCACCCTTATGAACTTAGGAAACCCGATGATAATTTCTACCTGAAATTAAAAACAACATCCCTCCCAGGGAATGAAAATGATTTGGTATTCACTTGGCAGTCAGCCAAGAAGTGAAAAAATAGTAATCTATTAGCTGACCCAGAGAAAACACTTGGTCACAACTTTTCCTATTAGGGATAGATTTCCAAGGTCTTGAGGAGCTGGGCAGACTTTAAGTGCCCATTATAAAAATAGAGAAAGGACTTAGGCTATATGAAGAAAAGGTGATTCTTCAAACATAGTAGTCTGACCAGAGCCATGACAAGAAATTGTGCCTGGGCATATTCCACAAACTTTGCTTTGGGTAAGTGGAATAAATGATACTCTCCTTAATGGTGTTGGGTGAGAGACAGAGACCCAGGTCATTGGAATGAAGCTGCTGGTGGGGAGCCATAGTATAGGCTGGGACAGAGGAAAGACAAGCAATGTAGGGGATTAGCTCACTACAACCTGACGACTGGTAGCTTTCATTTCAACCTATTATTCTTTCTAGCTAGGTGCTAGTATCTGTTGTAACTATGCCGCTGAAGGCCCGAGAGCACAGTCAACCCCCTCTAAATCCAATGTCCACCAAATTCTGCAGCCTGAGGCAAAGTCCAAGTGGCCCTGAAACAGCTAGAGATAGACCTATAGACCTATAATAGAATCTGACCAGTGGTATTTGGATGATTATAGGATCATTGGCTTAGGGTTGAAAGGGACCTCAGATCGTCTAGTGAACTCTTGGTATATGTTTCATGTTTACTTATCTATACACATGTCATTTCTCTCCCTATTCCCAAATGGAAGTAAGGGGAAAATATAGATGCTCATTATAGACAGGGACTGTTTTCATTTCTATCTTTGTATCCTGAGCACCTGGCATATATTAGGCACATAGTTGGTACTTAGGAAGTATTTGTTGAGTTAAATTGCATTTGTGGAACCCATGTAGGCTCAGGAAGTTTCCCTGTGCCTTAACTGGTCAACCTGCCTTTCAGAAGACAATGTGGGGGCAGCGAGGTGGTGCAGTGGATAGAGTACTGGCCCTGGAGTCAGGAGGACCTGAGTTCAAATTCGGCCTCAGACACATAACACTGACTAGCTGTGTGACCCTGGGCAAGTCATTAACCCCAACTGCCTCACCAAAAAAAAAAAAAAAAGAAGACGACAACGACCATGTGAAAGTGACTAGCGCCTTCTCACCTCAGTCCTATGGACAAGCTGTTGAGTAGCGTCATCATTCATGCGGAAGATCTCCAGAAATGGATCAGACTTGCTGAAGAAATCCTAAAAAGGAGAACAGAAAAAGCAGTCAATTCTTGAGCCTCATTCCATTTTTACTAAAGTTCTTCCACTTTCTCCCTTTGGCCATATACCGAGTGGAGGGCATCCCACTGCTTTCTCTCTCCTAATCTCCACTACAGTTTGGTCTTTCTTGGGTCTTTCTACTCCATGACTTATCATGCCATCTTCTCTCCTCTGTTCTCATCACTGCTGTCTTCCTCTTCCCTCCCAAGAGAGGAGACTCTTTCCATTATCTGTGCCTGGTAACTAAATTCTAAAGCCCTTTGAAAAGTGACTTTTGTAATAGAAATTGTCTATAGTAACAATAATAACATCTAGCATATATATTTCAGTTTTATTGATTTTTTTACATTTACAAACATCTATAAATTCCCCTCGCTCTGAGACGTCTCTTGTAAACAAAAAAAAAATTAAGCAAAATGCCATAGTGACCTCATCTGAAAATGCATACAATAGCCCCTACCTCTCTATTTTCTGAATATTTTTAATTAGCAGAAATTTCTCTCTCCATCCAAGCTCCCACCCCATAAAAAGAAAATAAAAACAAATTCTTTCTAATAAATATTCAGTCAAGAAAAACAAATTCCCTCATTAGCTGTATATAAAAATGTATGTCTCATTCTGAACTGTCAGTCTTTCACTTCTTTGTCCTAAGATAAATAATATGTTTCATCACTAGTCCTTTGCAATCATGGATAGTCATATAGTTCTTATAACTTTCCAAATTATTTGTCTTCACAGTGTTGTAAATCATTCTCCTGGTTTTGCTCATCTGATTCTTTATCAGCTTATACATGTCTTCAAAAATTGTTCATTTTTTATAACATTGATGTTAGCAAGGAGGCAGGTAGGTGATGCAGTGAATAGAGAGTTGTCCTTGGAGTAAGGAAGACCTGAGTTCAAATCTAGTCTCAGACACTGTATGACCCTAGCCAAGTCATTTAACCTCTGTCTGCTTGTTTCCTCATCTGTAGGATGACGGTAATAATAGCACCAGCTTCTCAGGGTTGTTGTGTGGATCAAATGAAATGTTTGTAAAGCACTCTGAATACCTTAAAATGTTAAGAAAATACTAGTTGTTATAACTATTTAAATTGTTCTATTTCTGCTTACTTCATTCTGTATCAGTTCACGAGTCTTTCCATACCTCTTTGAAACCATTTATTTCCTCCTTTTTTATAACACAACACTCCATCACATCCATACACCACAAATTATTCAGCCATTCCTTCATTCGTGGCTATCCTGTTAGTTTCTCGCTTTTTGCCACCACAACAAAAGCTACTATAAATATTTTTGAACCTTTTCCTATTTCTTTGATCTCCTTTGGACATAGACCCAGCAGTGGTAGAGCTTGGTCAAATGAAATGTTTAATAACTTTTTGTGCATAATTCCAAACTGTCTTCCAGAATGGTTCTAGCTATTCACAGGCCCACCAACAGTACATCAATGTGCCTGTTTTCTCCCTGCCCCTCCAACATTTATAATTTTCCTTTTTTGTCATCTACTATTATAATGCCCACTTTTATAATTTTTAACATCTATGGATTAAATTAGTCTTCTCCATTTTCATATTCTTTGTACTAGTCCAAGACATCTTTTCCCCTAAACCTCCTTTCTTCCCAACTTCCCTGGTTCTGTCAAAGGTACCACCATCTTTTCAGTCTTATAACCTTGGCAGTACACTGGACTCCTCACTCTCCCTCACCCCACGTAATATCCAACCAGTGAGCAAATCTTGCCATTTCTACCTTCCTAGCGCTCTTCCATCTGATCCTTCTCTCCACTCATATAACCACCACCTTAGTTCAAGCCCTCAGAACTGTGAATGTAGATTATTTTAATGGTCTCCTCTTAATCAGTCTTTCTGCCCCAAGTCTCTCCCCACACCAATCCATTCTATATGCTGTTACCAAACTAATTTTCCTTAAATACAAATGTGACCATGTGACTTCTCTCCTTAGTTAACTCCAGTAGCTTTTTACTGTCTGGATAAAATATAAACTTCTCCTCTGTTCAGCATATAAAGCCCTTCATAACTTTGCCTAACCTATTTTTTAGCCTCATTGAGCAGCAAGAGGAAAGCAGGCTGGATTGCCTTTGGGAAATTACTCTTCTTTTAATTATCCCAGATTTCTCCACCATCCAAAAACCATTATGTTCAATCAATCAATCATTTTCCTAGGCTGTACTTAACCAGGCTTTATGTTTAGTGCAGGGACCACAAAGACAAAAATAAAATAATCCCTGTTCTCAAGGAGCTTATGTTCTTTGGGGGGAAATATGTAAACATACCAGTAGATACCAAATCTGTACAAAGTAAGTAAGAGGTTATCTATTTGGTGGGGGTAGGTCTTAGCATCTGGGTGGATCCAGAAAGCATCACCTCATTTAGAGATAGCACTGGGGCTAAGTTTTGAAGGATGCTAGATACTCTAAAAGGCAGAGGGAAGGAAGAAGTGCATTCCAGTCACGTGGAATAGCCAGGGTAAAGCCCAGAGAGAAGAGATTAAATGTTCTATGTGAAGAATAGTAAGCAGTTATCTGGGCACAAATAGTCTTCTCACAATGTTGTATGGCTTCAATTCACGGAATACTATAGTTCCTAAAGAATTAACACTGAGGTTCACCCAAAGAGCATCAGAGAGACACATGGTGACTGTGGGAAGGCTGCAACACATTTCAGATGAGAGATAATGTGGGAAAACTTATATAAAAGATGTCATTAGATATGTGTACACCAGTGAAAAATGGGTCACTCGTGTAGAAAAAGGAAGGGATGATTGATAGAGAGCCCTCATGTTGAACTGGTGGTCATGCAAAGTCAAGATCAGTTGAGGAAAGTCCTTTGGGCAGATTTATGGGAGGTCATGGACAGGATAAGTAGGCATAGATGAATTGTGTGTGGCTTGCATCATTGGAGAAAATGTCCACATCAGGGAGGTCTTGGGTCCAACTAGAGTATGTGGGAATAAACAAATTAAGGCATCAGATGTCCCTTTCAATATAGGTGCATTTAGAATAAATTTAAAAGTCTGCATGTGTCTGTCATAATAATAATCCTGTCATAATATTAGCACATTTGGGAGAGTCAAGGTTTTCTGTTTAAAAAAAATTCATAAGAATAGACACATATATTGAACTGAAAGAAAGTTGGCTAAACTTGAAGCCTTTACAAAAATGTGCAGATCCAATTTTTCAGTCACCATCTTGGTGGCTTCATAAGAAAGGAAGAGAATTTTCTATTTTTCTTTTGCTCAACTATCAGCTATTAGCATGGCCCCTGGTGACTGTTCAGTACAATCAAGACTTAATGAATTGGGCACTTTAATTATATTTAGCTTCTGTGAAAATTGCTATTAAAAAGGAGGACGCATGCTCTAATCTACCACCTATTCTCTGGCTAATACAGAGAAAGTCAAATATATATTGTAGAGCAGTAAGCTACTAGGGTTTTGGAAGCAGCAAGAAGCAAAGTGGAAAAATTTTGATGAAGGTGAACTTGATAGAAATGATGGTGGTGATGATATTAATGGGGGTAATAATTTCTCACCTGGAAGCGACCTTGGAGAGTACTCTCTTATTTTACAGATAAAGCACTGAGATCCACAGAAGTCCTGAAGCTTTACCTAGATTACTAGAGGTAGGAATAGAATCTAGGAAAGCTGACTTCCAGTTCAATATGTTGTCTGCTACACACTGTTACCTCTCTCTAGCAGAACAGGAGCTAAGATGGGGAGAATCGGGCTTTATCCAAGATGTAGACCCCTTGGGGAGGAAGTGTGTTTCCACCTCCTCAGGCGCAATCCCTGTTCTGCTACTCATGAAGGTCCTGAAGTCACTATGATTCTTTCTTGAGACTCCCTTTTCTGCTAGGGTAGACTGTCTCCAACATGTTTCCTGTCCTCAGGACCCTTGCCATTCATCAGATCATTGGCTAAATTAATGTCCAGTGACCACCTCTGTCTTACTTCTTGGTAAACTTAGCCCTAGCCTTTCCCAATTCCTATCTTCCTCTGCTCTCACTTTCCACAATGCCCTCTGTTAACACACACCCCTTCATTTTAGAGTTCTTCCTCTCGTATTCTTTACTTCTTTTGATATTCTCTGAAATACAGCTTTCTCCTGAAGATACCGCATCTTTTAGTATCTTCTTCAATCACTCTCTGCAACTTCTGACACTGCCAGGAGAAGGAGGAGGAAGCAGCATATTCCTTATTCCCTAAGGCAACTGTTAGATGATTCCTCCGCCACTATCATTCCAAAACCATCTCTCTTCCTTTCAAGTTGCCATGTCCAGATCTTTGTCGCTCTCATCTCCAGAGCTCCAGGTCATCCTCCCTCATTACCCAATAAATCCAGTACCTGGAACCTAGCCTTCTTTCCCATCCCAACACAGCCTTCCTTTGACACCCTAAATACCTAGTTTCTCTACCTCCTCTATGCCTTCTTCTCTCTCCAGTCTCCTGAAACTAATCTAAGGGATGAATCATACCTTAAATCATCATCTCACAATTGAATTTGCCTCCAGGTACCACATTTTCTTCTTCTGGCTTTCCCCACTCAGGAGAATTTCCCCTAATTTTAGTGGGTCTGTTTTACATGTGCACATAGTACCAAGCAATAGCAGCCTCTGGGCCCATATGTAGATATGAAAAACTAGGGTCCTCTCCTAAACACCAGTGTGAGGATCAGTTTGTCCTATACTTTGCCACAAACATAACCCTCAAAAAGAAAGTCAGGGGGAGATGCTCTGGCTGTTCAAGTGTTCTGGAGTGATTACTTCATTCACTAATTGAACCTACTTGTTATGGTCATTGTCAGTCAGCTGCTAATGCAATATAACTGTTCTGGAAGGTAGGATGCCACTGTGAGGGGTTCTCAGAAGAAGTCTTGAAACACAAAGACACTGTGAGCTAAATGGGCTGCATTAGAATAGGAGAAGTTGGCTTCTCCTTGCTTTGAAGACCAAACCTGAGGC